ACCAAAATTGTGAAATTCATAACCCAGGGAGTTCGAGTGATAGGGCGGGGCTATATTGATTATATATTGAAACTGCATTATTTCTTTGAAAATCTTCTTCTCTGCTTCTGGGTGTTAAATAAACCAACTATGTACATAGTTATGATGAGCAAAAGTGCCTCTTACAGAATTGTGAATTTTATTGCCCCAGGGTCAGGGGTTCTGGCGTTAGAGCGGGGCTCTATGGATTATATAGTGAAAATGCATTAATTCTTCGAAAATCTCTGCTTATGGGTATTAATTAAAATGATTAAGTACATAGTTATGATTAGCAAGAGTGCCTGTACCAAAATTGTGAATTTTATGGCCCCAGGGTCAGGGGTTCTGGTGTTAGAGCGGGGCCTCTATGGATTATATAGTGAAATTGCATTAATTCTTTGAAAATCTTCTTCTCTGCACCTTGGTATGAAATAAACCAACTAAATAAATACCGGTAGTTATGATGAGCAAATATGCTTCTACCAAAATTGTGAATTTTAAGGCCCTAGGGTCAGGGGTGTTGGTGTTATGGCAAGGCTGTTTTGATTGTATAGTGAAAAAGCATTACTATATTATAGTGAAAATGCGTTAGTTATTCTTTGAAAATCTTCTTCACTGCTCCTGGGTATTAAATAAACTAAGTACATAGTTATGATGAGCAAGAATGCTTCTTCCAAATTGCGAATTTTATGGCCCAAAGGTCAGGGGTTCTGGTGTTACGGCGGTGCTCTATCATGATTGTATAGTGAAAATACATTACAATCTTTGAATAGAGTTAAACAATGACTCCATATATTGCATGTTACATTTGCAGTCATTAACGTGTTAGGGCGGTGCTCTATCATGATTGTATAGTGAAAATACATTACAATCTTTGAATAGAGTTAAACAATGACTCCATATATTGCATGTTACATTTGCAGTCATTAACGTGAGAAATATTGTTTTCCTCGACCGTGCCGCATACCGCTGTATCTCCTTGAAAATGCTTCTCCTTTGGTAGATAAATGTAGTTTAACGTTAACTCCGTGGATTGCATTTGTACACATGGTATTACACAAATTGCTTTATTAAACCAACTGAGCTTGATGCAATATAGAGTTGCCACCACTTGTGTGGAGGACTGAATTTAAATGTATACGCAGCAGTCACCATGCAGTGAGAGAACTTATGCGTACCAGCACGCACTATGACACGGGACCTCGGTTAATAAGGAGCAGTCTCCACGACCCGTAGTGAATTGCATTGGGACCCGCGACGTAAGGATAAGCCTTGCTCCGCAACTGTAGAGGAGATGCCTGTAGAGGAGATGCTCTAACTAGTGCGCTACGCGGGCGACTTCAGTGCAGATTTATTCATACCTTATATCCGTCATGAAAACCTTCTCTGGAGACCTCTTCTTTCCTTGGGCCAGTAATATTGTTAAACGACGAAAACTCGGAATTACATTGAATTTCATAATTGTAGACATACACATGTATAAGGGGTCATTTTCATTCGTGTGGGCCTCGTATCCTCGCTTTAAAGCTTCTTTTGATTGACCTTGGGTCAATAAACAGAGTTTAACAATGACTCCGTAAAATGCATGCGGAAATTTGATCTGATAAAGGCAATATATTACACAATTTATGTACACTATTAAAAAAAACAAGTGCACATTCTTCTTAAACATTACCTGTGTGCTTAACATTTTGTGACATAAAATATGTGAATTTTTTTAAATAATGTTCTCAACAAACTTCATGTTATTATAGTTTTAAAAAATAATTAAAAAGAATTATGTTAAAAAAGCTATATACAGCTGTTTTGTTGCATCTTTTCTAGATATATGGGTGGCCCTGAAAGGGAAAGGGGCCGTTGGGGTTTAGCCCTGAAAAGAGTTTTTTTTTTGTCACAGGGTTTTCTCGCCGGTTGAATTTTTTTAAATAATGTTCTCAACAAACTTCATGTTATTATAGTTTTAAAAAATAATTTAAAAGAATTATGTTAAAAAAGCTATATACAGCTGTTTAGTTGCATCTTTTCTAGATATATGGGTGGCCCTGAAAGGGAAAGGGGTCGTTGGGGTTTAGCCCTGAAAAGAGTTTTTTTTTGTCACAGGGTTTTCTCGCCGGTTATCCATCTACACTCTATTGTGTGTCCATAAAGTCCGGACTTTTGGGTGGGGTGGGGGCGATTTACGCGGGGGGTCCTTCAACATAGGGGTAAGGACCGGTTCCGGTTCACTGACACAGAGGTGAACCTAGATCAGGCTGGTCGCTGGCGACACCCGCAAAACACACAGGTGGTGGGACGTCCTCCGTCCATCAGACTGGCGCCTGTCTGAAATTTCCACGTATTTCATTCCGTATTGATTGCATATCTTCTCAATGGCATCTATTTCCTGCCACCGTAAAATCACTTTCGTACCTTGACGATGGCATAAACAAGTTTAAGGCTTTCCGAGATAGTCGCTCAGGCTCAACCTATACCATAAGAATGTGCTGGGATCGAGCGGGGTTTTCCTTCTAGGTAGGGTGCGTGCTGAGCGCATGAAGGTTTTTGTAAGAAACCTTAATCTAAATTCGCTTCAAGGTATAAAAACTAGCGCTGAGAGTAGTGTATGGGTCATCATTTTGAGTCAACATTTCAGAAGTCAGGCGTTGAAAATATGGCAGAAGCAATGATGAAAACCACAATCACGTGGCATCTGGAGCCTGTATGCTGTACCCTCCTTGCCAGACTCGGGATCCATGTGGGACTGAATTTGGGACTCGATTAATTTCTGGACCTCATGCTCAAAATGGACTTTGGTACATGTATTTAAACCACCAAGTTAAACACAGCACACTTAAGGAATAGTAATTGTTTACTACCATATAGAAAATGCATCTAAACAAAATGTTCAATTAATTTAACTTGGGCTTAAAATTCTTAAAATGTGAAGAATACTTAAAATGATGACAAATTACCGGTAAGAAATATCTGACTATGCGTGCCGGAAAAATATGTGATTACAGAGAATGAGTATTGAAAGCAAAATTTAAAAATCAAAGTCGATATAAATTTTATAACACAATTGCTTTTGTTTATTCAAAACTATTAAAAAATTATAAAAAATTCTTTACATAGAGTATGGACAGCACTGAAAAAAAAACATGTTGACAATTATTTAGACAGGAGAGGACAATGGAGTTTTCTCGTCATTGAAATATGAATTTAAAATTTCATGCTTTTTAATAGAAAAACTCATTCTTCTAACTTAACAGCCAAAAAATCAAAACCTGTAAAATAGCTGGGGTGTCCGCTCCTGGGTCCTAAGTGTTTCTTGATACAGATAACATTTAAAATTATTTAAAAATTAAATTAACAAGATAATTTGTAACGGTGGTTCGGGCGTCCTCTTCAGAACTGAAATAGAAACCTGCTCTATTATAAGTAATTTAAATATAGATGAGAGTAGAGAGGAAACAAGTAAGAGATCATAGCAGGTAAAAAAGGGATTGTTAAAAACATTGAACTTTTTAAATCTACGTAGTTTTAAAAATGCATATTTCTTTTGTCCATAACGAAGTCTAAAGTCTATAGAAATACATTAGTACATGAATAAACAAGTCATCATTTTACTATTCTATCGTTTGTTTTTTTTTAATAAATCATTGCTTAGTATTTTTTTGACCGCCAACTACCAATCTTTGAATGAGAACAGATAAAGAGTAAAGAAATGATTGAGAGAGAGCCACAGAAAAGATAATATCAACTTACTTTATATATTGAATTTTCCTCCAACACAGCTAAAAAAAAAGTATTTCTTATCCAACTTCTGAATCTCCTCATTCTCAGAAAGGTAGAAAAACGAAAAATTATTATCGAAACTCATGTTTCTGTCTGGCTAATTTTTAATAAATTACAGATGCACAAAATGACGCTTTTTAATTGTATTAGGTTTTGAAATAATATTTTGTTTATAATTGTTAAAAATTAATTCATCTTATAAAATATTTTAATTAAAGAAAGTGAGCCTTAACTAAGTGGTTCTGAGAGATACAACTTGAATGTGCGTAATGAACATATCACCTACATGTACATGTACTATATATTTTAATTTATATAGAATTAGATCTAGGAAAAGATCACTCTAATTGCAAAAAATACCATAGAATCAGAACTCTTTAGTGTGCGGCGTATAGGGTTCTTCAAAAGAATTGTCACCTGGTTTCATGGTTTGGATAAGTTGACCAAAATACGAGTATTAAGGTGTACTATATAATTTCTTCATTTTCATGACTCCTACTCAAGTATAATGTGGTAAAGCCTGAGAATCTCGATCCTGCTACTCAGGTTACCGTCAAGAACCCTGGGCCTCCTCTTCGTGGTATTCAAGCCAATACTTTGGTTTTTTTGTCCCCCGCTTAAAAAGTGGGTTTGTCCGTCCGTCTTTCTGTCTGTCTGTAACACTTTCGTTTCCACACGATATCTCGAGAACCCTTTAAGCTTTTGCAAATGAAATTTAGCATAGCAACTCCCTATGGACTAAAGAAGAACCCTATTGATTTTGAGGTCAAAAGGGCAAAGGTCAAGGTCATAAATAAGCAAATTCTGTCTGTTATAATACTTTCGTTTCCACACGATATCTCTAGAACCATTTGAGCTATTGCAATGAAATTTTACATAACAACTCGCTGTGGCCTAATAAAGACCCCTATTGATTTTGAGGTCAAAAGGTCAAAGTTCAAGGTCGTAGATTTACACATTCTGTCCGTGTGTAACACTATCATTTCCGGGCGATATTTCAAGAAGATTTTGAGCTTATTCAATGTGATTTTATACCAAAACTTCCAAGAACCTCTCTCACCCCTCTCAAAGTGTCCCGCCCCGTTTGTTTTATTAGTATTTACGAGGGGTGATCAAAAAGTTCGCAAACTATCTCTATATCTACAAAACCACAATGGTTTACGCCGTCGTCATTACTCGCCAGGTGGCGCGCGAGTTCTAAGGGGTATAGAAAAAGCTAACATGGCGGAGAATTATAAACACTGGACGGTCCCGCGTCTAAAATGCGAACTTTCCCAAAGAGGTGCTGTGATCACTGGGAGAAAGATTGATTTAATCGAAAGGTAAAAACATTTTTTAAAGATATGACGTATTTATAATTGACAAACAATATCACAAGTCAAAATAAACATTCTCCTTATGTGAACAATGTCGTTGCATGCCAGTTAGGCCTAGTCGACATGTGCAAATATTGAACTCGCGCAAAATCATAGACATTTTACCATTTTTTTTCTTAGTAATAATGAAGATGATTCAGTTACGCTTACACTCTTTTAAATGCTATTTTTTGACTCAATAATGCAGGCTTGAAGCATACGACCGCAACAAGAATTTTAGGCAAGACCCTATCGTAATACCCGAACCAGTAGATGTGTTTTGGCCAACATGTGGATTCCAACAGTTAAGACAAGAACACAGACAATTGCTACCCAAGTTATCAACTACCCAGATCGAGAATTACTTTTTGTACAGAATGGCAGGTCAGTGGAAAATTGTAGGTGAAACACAGTTAGGCCTAATGTTTTTTTGTTACCAATGTTACAAAACGTATATGATTTTTTTTACTCATTAGAAGATAAACAAATGACATCTGATATCAAGGCCCTGGAGAAGGGAAAAGATCTTCTGAAGGGTAACAGAATCTTAGCCTGCAGTATGTGTGTTTCCGGTGATGTGTACCTGTCTGGGATAGTTGGTGCAGCTATGAAACAAAAGGTTTTTATTTTTACAGTAATTGGCTACCTCAAATATGATCAGTATTAAATTTGTATTTAATACAATGATTTACTCTCTTTCTCAGTATAGAAAGAGTGAAAATGTCAGAGCCATTCATACTTAGTTATGCTAATGTAAACCTCATAAATAATATACAATTTAAGTTTGATACATGCAATAAATTTTTCAAAGAATCTCGGAATGTTACCTATACCTATAGTCTTAACATAGTGTTTTTTTTTTTAACACTTCTATTTTGTCTTCCAGGTTTCATATAATTTTAAAATAAGGCTTGGAAGAACCCATGGGGAACCCTTAAATTCACATTGTGAGTGCCCAGCTGGGAAAGGTCCACATGGGACATGCAAGCATATTGGAGCGGTTTTGTTGATGGTGGCAGCATTCATCGAAAAGGGGGAGATTTCTGTGATGAAAGGCTGCACAGAAAATTTACAAAATTTCCATGTGCCGAAGAAAATGTATGAAGGTTTGTATAATACTGAAAACATTCTATTAAACACAATGTTAAACAATAGACAAAAGAGATAACAGTATTTTTTTTAATGTGTTTTCTGCTTAATATAGATTTCAGAGCTAAAAATTTCAGGATTTCCAAATGACTCTCACAATTTTAATTTATTTAGAACTATAAAATTTTTTTTACATCCAGGTAAGCCTCTTATTGCGGACAAAATCCCTTGGAAAAGGAAAATCTCGGAGGACATGCTTGAGGACCCAAGAAAAGAAAAGTACAAAAGAAATTCCACTGGGTACTCAAGTTATGTTTACAACTGCATGGTGAACTATTGTGCTGCCTCCTCCGTGGACATAACTTTGAGATATTCAACACCTTCTACAAGTCTTCTGGTAAAGAAATTTTTATTTCTTGGTATTTTTATGCATCACGATGAATATGGCAGGGGCATATAGTGTCTGTCATGTTTATCTGTTGGTCCATCACATTTTGTGTTTAAACCAGTTTCAAAGAAACCTAAACAAGATTTAAAAACCAAAATTCATACACTGATATTGATGCGAGCTAGCATATTCAACTGTGGCATAACAATTATCATTTCACAGGGGAGTGACACCCCCCCCCCCTTTTAATTTTGCCTATATTAGAAATATTCATAAATAATTATTTATTTCAGGTTGCAAGTAGAGATCATGATTACCTTCAACTCCCCTTCACAGAATATATTGTAGACAGAGCATTGTGTGTAAGTATTTTTTTAATTGATGACCTTTATTTCAATATTGCTTATTGATCTTGACTAATTTAATGTTTACATATTTTTAACATTAAGGTAACTCCAGAAAAAGCAGAGACTATAGAGAAAACTACAAGGCTACAAGCTAAAAGTAAACAATGGTTTGATGAGAGAAAGTGGAGGATAACAGCATCCAGATTCGGAGACATTGCAAAAATGACTTGCCGCAGAGATACACGGAAACTTTGTTCGAGTTTATATCAAAGAAATTTAATTTCTACTTCACCTATCATGCATGGTAGACAATATGAAAACAAAGCTATATGTAGATTTGAGGAGATTTCTGGTCTCAAAGTTAAAAGATGTGGACTATTTGTATCTACAGATTTTCCATTTCTTGGTGCAACACCAGATGGGTTAATAGACAATGCTGCCATTATTGAAGTTAAATGTCCTTATACTGGTAGAAATGAGGAAATCAAACGTGGGAAGAAATTCCCATTCCTTGTTGAGATATCTGATGGCACTGTTACACTTAAAAACTCTCATAAATACTATGATCAAGTGCAAGGCCAGCTTTTTCTTTCCAGAAGAAAAATGTGTCATTTTGTTGTGTTTACTTTCTGTGATATTTTGATTCTGAAAATTCAGTATGATGATGATTACTTCAGGTTCAGTTTGCTGCCAAAGTTGGAAATGTTTTACAAGAAACACTTTAGACCTTATGTTGCTTCTTGTTTGTAATTTCACTAAATAAGATGTTGACATTCAGAATAAAATGTACATGTTTCAAGAGATGGCAAAATGTAGAAAATGCTAGCCCCCACTTTCAGATGATTCTTGAAAAAGAAAATTTACATAAAACTTTTTGAATGTCAAGGCTAGCAATAAAAAATAATTTGTTTGATGTATTTCAACCAACACTTCAAAGTCACCCTTACCCAATCTTTCTTTTTTTTACCAGCACTTTGATTTTGTTTTTTTTTTCAATCTCTGTAGTAAAATTTCTAAAGGATGATTTATTATTTTAATTTTTATATATGTAAAAATGTATAGTCATCTATATCTAATGAAAACATCAATATATATCCGAGTCTGTGATTTGTATGACAGTTACATATATCATTTGTCCAATACTGTAGAGAAAAAACAAACAAAACCTAACTACCTACCCACCTTGAGAATGTGGGTTGGAGTACATCAAACAAAAAATTTTTAATGATGGCCCAAGGTTGTAACTTTTGCAATTTTTACACTATAGAAAACATTTTTGATTTGTACCAGGAAACATACTATTAATACAATAATAAATTATGGAAAAATTCTTTTCAGTTTATTTAATCAATCAGGCATACCCATCCACAATTGGTTTCCTAAAATTTGACAAAGAAAAGCAAACAAACACTATTCTAGATGCAAGAATACATTTGCTAGATGGAAGTGGAGAACTTAGAATTTTGTATCTCTTACTAAGGCCAATGATTCTCTCTACGTGTATTCGTTTGGATGCAATTCTCCTGTCCTTTACAACATCTTTTGGTTCAAGTTGAGATTTTCCCTTAAGCATTGTAGGAGTATTAACAAACACATCCATGGGTGCAAACAAATCTTGCACCATAATGCCTCTGTCTGCCATTATACTATCTTTTGGTAAAAACCTGTTTGATTCTGGCTTTGTTAAATCAGAACACTCAATGATTTGTCTGTCGGAAGCAGAACCCCCAAAAGCATCACTAATAAAGGAAACTGCACCTCGTGGTGTACAACCGATCATTGTTTTTAAAGTATTGTGATGCTTGTATCCAGACCATGTCACTGACTGGGCAATTACATCTGATGGCTTTTGAATTGGTATCTCGGTTGCATCGAGAATCACCCTGGTAGAGGGAAACTTCTTCGAGAAATCCTCTGGCATATGTTTATCAATGATTTCTCGAGAAGGCCATATATCAATTTCTTTCAGCTGAAAGTACATGAAGTTAATCCACATTATGACTATTTTTGATACAGTTGTTTCACTAATCTCGAACATAAGACTTAATTCAAAATCCTCCCTAGCTTGGCGAAGTTTGATCAAAGTTAAGAAAAGCTGATCAATGGGTGAAATTATAGTTGGTTGATTTTTAAGATCTGAAGCTGCTGGGCCAAGACAACGAAAAAAAAATTCAAAATGCTCAAAATCTGTAAATCCTGTGTAAAAGTTAATTGCCTTAGAGTTTGTCCTAAACTTTTCAATTGAATAGCGACCATGAAGAAGACTGCATTGAAAACTCTCAAGCGAAAATTTCTCAACATGGGGTGAATTCATTTCTACTTGATTTTCACTTTCCTCACTACTAATGGGAGACTCAACTGTGACCTCTTGCTGAACACCATGACAGTACTCAGTAGGTGTAGACATAGTGGACACACTTGCTTTATTTTTTGAGACTGAGGTTCCACGTTGTCGCTCTTCAGATGAAGACCTAAATTTGAAAACTGATGGAACAGCATTCTCCTTAAGGCGTGCTCGTTCACCTGTAAATTTGAGAACAAAAATATATTTTCAATGTGATTATTTCAACATCATAAAAAAAATCATTGAAAGGAATAATCTGACCATTTTTTGTGTTGTTCAATCCTATTTAAAATGAAATCTTAAATTTACATATTATATTTTAATAGAAATAAGAACTGAAAAATTTACATATTACATATTTGAACTTGAATACTTATATATATATTTTAAGAGATATAAAGTTTGTACTTTAATTTTAAAATTCTTTCATTATTATAGTAAACAATAGCATTTGATACATTGAATAAATTTGAAGGCTTTGAAAAAAAATGTGTATGAGTAAAAAAAATAACAAATTTTGACTTATCCGTGCAGGAATGTTTATGCCATAATGGGCTGTCTTCTTGATGGCATCTGAAACAAAAACAAAACACAACCACAAAGCATCACAAAGATAAAGACAAACCAATAAAAGAACAAAATATTAGTGCATGTACTTGTCATACATATATAAAATACCCCTGGGGTTGGTGTACAGATTTATGTATGTTACAAAATTAATTTTATGCAGGGACTTAGTGACATGCACTAATTTTAAACTCTATAAAAATGAATGACATGTTAATTGAAAAAAAAAACGATCAGAAATTTCTATGACACATCGATCTCTAAAATGAGTGTTTACACAAATATGCGAATGTGTGTCAGAGGAATCTCGGAATTTTTCGTAACAGTTTTTCATACTAAAATTGCCATTGTGTTTTGACTTAACATAACTTTATGTTATAAACAATTTTTTTTCTGTAAAAATTCGCATACTAACCTAATAGTGTGCACTTGTAATCAGAGGACATAAAATGTGCCCTACAAACGACATCGTTTGGTCCAGGTTTCCATAGTTGTTTGGTGAAGGGTCCATACGTTTTACCGCGATTCTCCATTTTTTAAGCATATGTTTATCTGCGGGGAATTTGTGCCCCCCAAACCCACAGCAACCGGGCACACAACAGTACTTCGGCATAATGATAGTGTTTAAGATCGTAAAGCGGAAGTCGCCTATACCCCTTAGTTCCCGCGCGCCACCTAGCGATTAAAAATTGTGCGGCGTAAACTATTCAGATTAGAATGAAATTCAGTACACACATAGCCATACACAAGGCTTATAAATAGCGTATGCTGAATAAAGTTTCTAGTCTCTTCTTGTTTGTGACGTCACAATGTGAAAATGACGTCACTATTTAGGTCACTTGTGACGAAAAATGGTTGTCTCAGTCGAACTCGTTCAACACGAGGTCTGGCTTGTACAAACTCATAAAATCATCATTACAGTGTGATAAATATTCCATATAAAAAGAATCTTCTATACACATAATAAAGAATAAGCAATTAAATCTTTATATCCATAATGGTATATTTTATTTGCTTCAGTATACATGCATGTATACATCTAATAATTATACAAATTCAGTGAGGGGGATCCAACTCTCCCCTCCCTCCCCTCGAACTGCGCATGTTTTACTTTTTCCTTAAGCGGGGGACACAAATTCTCTGAATTAGCTTGTTTTTCTAGTTACTGTTATTTACATTCGTCAAAAAGGTACTAATAAATGCGGCTTAATATGTAATGAGATCACAAAATAGTTTATAAATAAGCTTATTTATAATCTCAATAAGTGGTGAAAATAGATAATATAAGGAATGGAATACCTCCATTGTCGCACATATTTCATTTTTTTTATTCTTCAAATTTGTTTTTAAATACTGGAAAATGAAAAAGTTTTCAATTAAATATGCGTTAAATAAAACAGCAAATAAAACGTGAATTCTCATCAGCGGATCAGTCATAGAAACGATAAAAACTCGCTTTTTTCAGTAGTAGCATTTACATGTAGATTTTATTGGTCTGCAAAACAAAGATGTATTGGTTTGTACATGTACTACAAACTCTTTAATATCAAGGGAATATTTGTTTTAGATGCCTCCTTAAAAATGTCCAATGTAGTAGTCTGTAAGAGCTTATTATTTAACAGCTGCGAGATCAGGATGGTAAATGAAGTGTAGGTTTTGGTGAAATTTTTACTCCAATATATTATTTCGTTCATCACTGTTTTATGTCTCTAGGGAAAAACAATGAATCATTTTGAGGGTCAAGGAACTGAACAGGATTTTATTAATATATTGATATACGTCCTTTTTAACCAAAGTGCCGTTTTTATTTATCAAGAAATCTTTAGAAAATTATAGATCTATTGCTATTATATATGCTATGACTTGGTCATCTACGACAAATGAGGTGATACGCTTCATTTGTTTTCAAATAAAACATTTTTTTTTGTTTTAAAAATTAGGAAATTCTTCATTATTAAAATGTCACTGTGGTGAATTAATAAGGGAATCTTGATTTGCATTTTTTCGACTGGGAAGACGATGCACGTGAAAACCAGTCGAGCGCTTCAAAGAAGGCTATTATCTCATCAGAGTTAGATATATGACTGTCATAATAACGAAAATTAAAATAAGAACTATTTCCAACAAAAAGATCTCTTTAAGCTTTAAGAATATCCTGTAGAGTGATTCATTCTAATCGGAACGAATTTAAAGATTCTGAAAGTGGTTTGCAAGTAGAAAAAGGAAATTTAATTTCGTTCTTGAACTGTACTTGGAACTTTATATTGCAATATAAATGGATACTCCTGAAGACCACTCTGTGCCTCCTTGGACACAATTTTTTGACGGCCCACTTTACAAGAAGTATGTGGACTACATGAAAAACCATGATCTTTCAAAGGTATATTTATAGACCTTCGATACTGTTATGTATTACTTACTTTAAATTTCATATAATAACAATTAAGTTTATGAACCTTTTTACATTGAAATTATCATTTCACATAAAAGTATTGAGTTGTGTTCACACGTGAAGAAATCTTTGTTATCGTAAATTTTAAGATGAATCCACGCCCGTCATTAATGCTAATTACAGGGTCATGTTTAATTCAGATAAGACTAAAAACAAGTGGATTGTGACAATCCTCTCCACGCTTCCGATTTCAAACAAACAATAGCTGTAATGCCAAATAAATCGAATTTCACTATTTCTGAGTGTTTTATATAAATATAACGAACAATTCCAATTGTAAGGAACTGCGTTAAATTAAATATATTTCAGTTGATGTTATAATTTGACCTACTTTCGTTGCAGTTCACTTTTTATTGTCCTTCATGTTTTTAAGCTTTATTCATGCTATCAATTATGGGGCAATTGTCCAAATTATTATCGTATGTACTCGTACTGACACTTTTCATTATTTCTGTAAGAAAACGGTGTAAATAAATTTATTTATATACGTACAACGAAACGCTCCCAAACTAATAATGATTTTTTTTTCTAGCATAAATTATGTAAATTCATAGCTGTATATTAATTTAAAATTGTCCGTTTTTCAGTAGAACACCTTTGAAACAGCTAAATTGGACAAGTTACAAAAGTATTAAACGCACTCCTTGTTTACACTTTCATGATTTCTTCTGCCTTTGGTCCAAAGCAAGAATGATTTTTACATTGGTTATACCAAAAAATGATAAATTTACACTTTGTAATTCAAATTGCTCCGTCCATGCACATATCAACATACTAAGGAATGTTTTTTCCCTTTTATAAGTTAAGTATTGAATAGGGTGAAAACAGAGATGAGTATGAATTTAGGTTTAAGCTTTCAAAAGAATTTCTGAAAAAGTTGAGTCACACGTAAAACGTTTTTGTTGAAACTGTGCATGATTGAATGCTATCGATTTCACATCAATCAGGAATTATGATAAATGTTGGAGTGAAAAACAAATCATGTACCATGTAATTTATAATTATGAATAGAAAAGAAGATATGTTATATGGAGATATCAAACAGAAATGAAGCCTAAAAAAACAAGCTGTTTACACATAATAGTTATTATAATATATAACAAAAACATGAATTCTTACAGTGTAAGTACCGGTATTCTTTCTCGCTTGATCTATGAACATTTTTGAGAAAAAAATTCTGCATCAACATCTCAAGTCTCTTTCTGAAAAACAGTTAAGTGAGTTCATTTTAGTCTTAGGCCTGATGTATATTTCAGAATTATTCATTTTAAATTAGAACCCACACATCTAAGAGTCAAACATCGCCCGCGTGGTGCAGTGGTTAGAGCATTTGCCTCATAGTCGCGAAGTAAGGAGTTCATCCTTACGTCGCGGGTTCGAACCTTACTGTGGGATGTGGAGACCGGTCTTTTGGATGAAATCGTTTAAACTGAGGTCTAGTGTCGCAGTAGATGATGGCACGAAAAAGATCCCTGCTCAATGGCCCTAGGTGTCGAGTATTGGACAAAATTTGCAGCTTTCCCTCAGCAAGTGGTGGCGTCTCCATATGAGTGAAAAATTCCCAAACGGCAGTTCAACAACATACAATCAATCTAAAAGGAACGACAAGAAAAGCAAAGGAATGAAAAGAAAAACTCTATTTTTTGCGCTTTCTAAAAAATATTTGCACTAATCTCATAATTTTTATGAAATTATTTATGTGATATCAAATTTCGTACATCATGTCAAGCGAGGAAAGTGACATTCTTTAGAAATGTGCGTTTGAAGTATTTTTCTTATTTATATATCTATGTTAACTTAGTGGTTATTTAAATTTTTATCCATTTCCTATTAACTTGGCTTAACCACTGATTATGAAAACTCCTCTGCATGCCCTGATTGTCACGCAAGATTTAATTTATGCAGAGCTAATTCTGTATGCAGTGCTTATAATTATAACCATGTTCTGATAACTCTGTAACAGACATCAACTATAAATTTTATAGTGAGTAAGTGTATTTTGCATTGAGCTTGTAAACATTCAAGAACGAAAAAAAAATCCGCACACTTTTAGATTTGGATAAATTTTCACAGTGAAGCATCAATCCTTAGGAAAATTTGTGCATTCTTTTACTTTCAAAAAGAAATAAAAGCGTATACTTTAATATTAAATCATAATAGTTCAAATATTTCACGGTGCACCAATTCAGAGATATAACAAAACTCTTTTGTGTTATAAATTTCAAACTAATGTTTCTTCTTAAGGAACTACGCACGCTAACTCCAATAAATTCCCGTCTACATTTTATAACCATTAAATTCAATATTGATGAAAATTCGGCTATAAAATCATTGTTTAATACAATGAACAGTTAAATGGTAATTGATTAATTAGTTTAATACCAGTGCTAAATTGTAAAATATCCCGAATTCCAGCTTTTGAAAAAAAGGGGGGTAGACGGTATTTTCCACTGAAACTAGGCTATAAATCATCATCATATTTTGAAATATACTGAAAGGAAAAAGAAATGCAGGGTAAACTGTTGAGCTGAATTAAATTTGTTTCCCTTAAAATATTTTTTTTAGTTTTCCTATCTAACTTTTAAAATCATCTTTCAAAAAGATATAACCAAATTCCCATTTGATTTTGTCTGATAATTCATGAGTTATTGAAGCTCAAATGACGATACCCCCCAAAAGTGAAAATTGAAAACTCTAATTATCTTCAATGTCTCTCCCGTGCATCTGTCAGAGCCTTATTTCTCCTTTGCATGGAATTTCATCAGAGTGTTTATCTTTCAAACCCTTGCGATATCGGGCATGGTAACCACGCCAAAAAAAAATTAGTCCTACGACGTGCGCATGCGCCAGTGAGCGGAACACAACGGTAAGTTGACTGGCTCAAAAAACCAAATTGCGAAATTGTTTTCTTTCAAATTTCGTATAAATGTAATGATTATAATCGTCTACTCTATAAATGGCTGTTTTTGTGGTGGTAAGATGGCGATTTAAGAGATGGCAGGACGAATAACCTGCTCGTAACATGGCTCTGTTTCGCGTTAACGTCATCGACATGGTTGATTGAAAACGACTCCAGACCCTCTCTGACAACGGGTAACAAGTTTTATGGGGGAGATTTTTACAAGAAACTGCTTAGTAAACCGTTTTTGCCTTTTCATTATTATGCAATTCGAAAACAAGACCCCATTGAACTTCCGTAAACTGTGCCAAAATTGCAAGAAATTCATAATGTCTCTTAATATTGAAAAACGATGTGCATACTTCATGTGCATCAAATAATGCAACAAGATTTGTTGACAAACTCGTCGTTATCAAATTGCACGTGTTTTGGCATTTTTAGCGTTTCCCCAGGTGACGTCATAAATTTCTCGGTAGAGTAATTCTGAATACTGATTTTGGTACACAGTAACTAAATTTCTCTTTTGACCAATTTTCGTGATTTTCGTCATGTAGTCAAATTTTTTTCGAACATTATGCTGCCCTGTGTTTCTTTTTCCTTTCAGTATAGTATATGATATGAATAAATGTTTCTTAAATCATTTTTAATATATCATGCATATAAAACGAAGCATATGTACTAGTAAAATACAATGTTTCAGTTGTAAATCACCTCGAAATAGCATTTTTGTCTGTAAACATATCCCCCCCCCCCCCCCGGTGAAACACAAAAAAAGCTTTGGTATGAATTTGTGAAATGACAGTCGATATCACCCGTAAAAAAGGAATTTGTGTTTCACCAGGGGGGGGGGGTTAATTTAAAAATATTTTTCGTTTTCCATTGATTTCTTTAGTGAAAAACAGGAGTTTTAGCAAAACGAGTTATCTCTCGTTGTTTTCCCAAATAAGTTATGTTTTATGAAAATCCATATAAATATCTATATTAATACTTAAAATCATTCGAATATATTAATTTTTGAAAATTGACTTGAAGGATTTTTGGTAGGAGAACAATCAAACAAAACTATGATCGTTCGCACTTCTTGCAAACAAACCATTCTCACAAAAAAAGGGTATTAAGCAGTATTTCAATGGTACATGTTAATAATGAAATTCACACCAAATTAACACTTTTCAAAACAAATATTACACATATCATGATACATTGTACCCAAATATAGTATAATTACATGCAACACCATATATTGATAAAATTTGATGAAGAAAAAAACCATGGTTGTACTACTAAATTAACTTTTCAAAGCAGTAATATGCGATGTCCTTCAACAATTTTCTAACATCATATTAATTATTCTATTTAATAGAATCTACATTTAAGGGTACGTATCCAAGGAAAGAAAATATTTTTGGATAAAAATCTGTGGTATAAAAACCTTGGCAACCATTTCCAACCAAAATGAAATATCATATTTTGTTCTTGGTATATGTTTCAAGGCTCTTTTTTCTATTATTTGGATTTATAATTGCTTTTTATTTTTACGTGTATGACAAAAATACTTTTGAATACTTTGTTACCATAGTAACGTATGTAATAGTTGATTTACCAAACATGTTTATCATGCATTTGAGACTTGTGACCTTCAACTTTTCCAAATGTTAACTATGGGGCTCTAAACATGTTAAAAAATGCCATTTTTCGAACTTTAAGACACGTTGCCATGGTAACTATAAAACATCCACCAATTTTTCCTCAACAACGAAACTAACTGGATCCCAAGCTACAGCAAACACGAAAACGGAAATCCTAATATAGTATATCATGCTTACGGGGATGCTTATTTTTATGACAAACTAACTGGATCCCAAGCTACAGCAAACACGAAAACGGAAATCCTTATCATGCTTACGGGGATGCTTATTTTTATGACACAGAAAAAGTGCCACCGACGCTAGATCCGCCACCCTATGGAGAGGTGCCCAATGGTGGCCATTCCACAGCATCAGACACAAATGCCCTAACTGAGGCTCAGAAGGCAAAACGAAATAGACACACGATTGGTTTTATCTTTTTTGGAATTCTTCTAATTGGAGCTGCGGCGGCAGCCACTGCGTTAATCATTCACTACGTTTTTATAACAGGTATTCAAGAGCAACATATATCTACATGTACAAACATATATATTTTTTGTATATTATACTTGGGATGGGAAGAACGGGTGAGGAATGAATTTTAAACAAAACAAAATGACTGAAACAAAAGGATCACGATTAACTCAAAACATGTACACTTTGAGCTTGCTATGCCTACCGATAATTGCAAGGATTTTCTCTTTTAAATTTTAATAAAGTTGTGACTCCATATGTGGATGAAAATGTAGCTCTGGGGATCAAATAATAGAACTTTGAATTCTCATTACATTTTTGCATTGGAATGCTTCAATTTCAATATGACCGACATGGTTCTGCTTTTCTTGAGATATACCGTATAAGTAGAATTTTTAGCGAGGATTTAATTTTGGTATTATTAGCGCGGGTGTCGAGATTGCTAAAATTAAATATCGCTAAAAATTAATTGTGTTTTATTTGTAATAGCTTCTTTAATGTGTATCTTAAAATCGCTAAAATAACACCTCGCTAAAAATAAATTACCAGTTTTTAAGGACAAATGGCTAAAATTGCGTCTCGCTAAAATTTCCACTTAGACGGTATTTTCCTTGCAAGTAAAACTAAACATGTATTTTTTTGGATTTGGATCTCGGCCTCTCTTTAAGGGGTCATGATTTAAATAAAGAAAAATCTTACATACAAGTAACGTATATTTTGGCAATTACTTCAATATGATTCGATTTATTGGTGTTTTGTCGCTTTTCTATTATGTTCCCATATATAAAATTTTAATGATCCATGAATCCATTTGTCAGAAAAGATTGCTTGAGCTTGCAGCTCAGGTGAGCTGAAAGACGTTGGAAGATTATTCGTTTCTTATAAGCTGTAAAGTTGTGTCCATAAATTTTACTAGCAATTTAATTTAAAGCTGCTGATTATTTGAAAATCGATTAAAAAGCCATTATTCTTGAACAGTATCTGTATTCGTACCACTCGGTACATGTACATGTATATTAGTAAAAACAGTTGTGTTAAATTTTGTTTTCAATCCAAAATGGACCGGGAGACACCATAGACCCTTTTTGCCCCCCCCCCCCCCCCCAATATCTTACCACTAAGTTAAAATTTGACTCCTTTATCTTTTTGTTTATTTGTAAAAGATATTCTTTTTCTTCTAAAATATTTTTTGCAATTGTATTCTTATGCAATAGAGATGTTAATATTTTTGTGACCTACTACAGTAACTGTAACAGCTTAGATACTTGTAAGAGAATAGAATTTTTTTTTATTTTAGTCGTATTTTTGTGAAGTGCCAAGGGATCCAATTTAAACTCAATCTTAACCATTAAATATATAAGCTTAGCTTTTTCGTCACGCACAGTTTCGAAATTTAAATACTTTGACACAAAAGCAACATGCACACATGACGTATTTGAAACGCATGAAAAGGGCAGGATTTAACCACAAATAAGATAAGAAAAAACAATGAACGCTATCAAACAACGAAGTAAAGGAACGTTTTGTTCCGTTTTCTTGCACTCACTTCATTTTTTATTAATTGCAGAGCATGAGCGGATTACTGACCATAAACTGAATCTTATAAACAACACTACCAGAGCAGATCTAAGTAAGATACATGTACTTCGTTTGTTTGCCTAATGATAAATGAGCATAATTATGAACGAGATTGATTAATTTTAATCAATCAGTATGGGATAGCTTCGCTCATATGCAAACGTCATACAAGTATTGTTTGCGAACTTTTGTAAATCGTTATATTGTAGATAATTTAGTTAAAATTTTACGTTTTGTGCCTATTTTATTTTCCCGCTGGTGTAAGAATACTCAATTTTAAAATGATACATGAAACAATTATTGATCATACTAGAGAGTTGATTTCTTTTTTTTTTTTTAGTTGAAGAAAACATAGATAATATTTCCATTGATGATTTGGGTAAAATTGGAACTAAATTGACAACAGTTTCACCATCGAAAGACGGATCCGGAAGTAACGTGAAAATAGACGTTTCAGAACCGGAAACTTTTTCCGTCCCAGTTTCAACCAAATCTCCGATTAAAACAGACGATGGAACTACAGAATCGTCACCTCTCACGACAGTAACAGCTGCACCAAGTAAGATATAATCTTAAGTTTTCTAATGAGCAAAGTTTAATCAAACGTGTTTTAATGTTATCTTCACTTTTCCATACAAGAGCACCTAGTACATTGTGCACGTTTTTTTTCTTCCAATTACTTAGTAGTTAGAGTGTCTTGAATGAATGTGAGAAAGGTGCGAATTATAAAAATTCAAACTCTGTAAATAAAGGCATACATGAAGATTGTATCATTAAACCCTATTGCATATGATAGAGGTCGTCAATACCGGAGTACATTTAAGGCAAAACTGCCCCCCCCTCCCGAATTGTAATAACACAACGTTAAGATGAAATCCTTTCCATGCGATTTTCCAAGGTTTTATACAATCAATTCCTACGATAAATTAAAGCTTAGCCCATATGATAGCGTTGCTGTTTTTATAGTTAAAACGCTAATTTTAAATTTACATATCTACACTGTGACAAAAATACCTTACACATACATGTACAGCGGGTGTGACTAATCGACAGGCGCATCCCTACTCCTTAATGGTACAACCCCTCACCCCACCCCACCCCCTCTTGTTTTTGATGCTTTAGGGTCTATGTTTGTTCTGATTATCTTAATATATTTCATGAGTCCATTAGTAAGGGGATTAAAACTTGTAAATAAAAAATTATTTTAATTTATTCCTTCATGCAATAGTTTAAGGAATTCATGTAAAATTAAATTCACAAGTCCTTATATAGATATTCAGAGAAATTATATAATAATTTTATATATAATACATATATATTTTTAAAATGAAATGATTTTTTTTCTCTTGTCTGTTTTCTTTACCAACAACTCAGATCTATGCCCTTGTTACTGTCTTTTATGTGCAAGTTATGCATGAAGCTTACTAACAAGTCCTCAATTTTTCCATGTAGGTTAGACTGGATAGAAACTGGATACTTAATGCTTGACCTCAAGACCTATGGAAACCATGAACTACATGTAGCATCGCCATTTTTAACCTCTGCCGCTTGCATCATATTCAAGAGTCGCTTCTGTTATTTGTGTGCATGCTGATTACTTTAATGAGTGCTAATTTGCTATTAAATTGAAAAGAGGTCAGAAATTGTGAAACAAACACTTATAGATTAAAGGAATGTACCCTTTTTTCCATAAATAAAGTCATATACATTTTCATGTTTTGTTTTGAAAGTTGTATCAGTGAAAGCATGAATGTTCAAAAGAAAAATAGGGTGAAGGTGGAATGACTCCTTAGTATTTTTCCAAAGATTTGTATGTAGATGCATGCCCAATTAATCGAGATTTTACTTGATGCACATGAAATATATAAATTTATAGAAGGCTTTATGATTTGAGTATGCATACCAAGTATGCAGTCTCTATCTCTTATGGTTCAAGAGTTATGACGAAGGTTCAAAAAAGCTATTTTTAGCGTCAAGGTCAGAGTCATTGACCTTGATGCCATTTGAAAGAACTTAATTAGTGGAGTATGCATACCAAATATGCAGTCTCTATCTCTCATGGTTCAAAAGTTATGGTGAAGGTTCAAAACATCTTCGCTATCCAAGGGTTTCCGATCCGAAATCTACTCTACAACCCTTGGCAGATTTGGCTGAAAATTTTGGAACTTGCGCAAACGAATTAATTGGCTGCGAAGTTCCAGTGTACGCAAGGTTTTTACTAATTGACGATTTTCGGCTGAATTATTTAAAGTCTGTTCGTGTTTTCTGCAAAAGAAGAGTATTACTTACAAGGGATGAAAGTTAGGACGTGATATATGCTAAAAAAAAAAAAACAAGGGAGTACAATCAATTTGAATTTTTTTCTTTTGATTAGGCTATATATGTTTTCAAGAATTATTGAAAGGACCACATAAGTCCGTCTTCCGCATTTTAGGTGCATAAATGTAAGCCAATCAAATGTCACGGCTCATTGATAATAATTGATACGGCAACATATGTAGAAGGTGTTGTCAAACTCTTGACAAAAAACCACGAAGAACGATATTTTCTACCACTTTTGAGGTGTGCCAACAGCTGTATGAGTGTTTGTTTATATTCCACATCAAATTGCATGGAGGTCGCCATATTGTCTGTTAGGGCTATTTTCATTGGACAAATATTAAAGAGCTTCAAGGGACTTAACTCAATTACGGCGATAGGCGGCGCAATGAAAGTTCCCGTTTGATAGGACTAAATCTGCCAAGGGTTGTAGAGTAGATTTCGGATCGGAAACCCATGGCTAGCGAAGATGGGTTCAAAAAAGCTATTATAGCATATAGGTCAAGGTCATTGACCTTGGTGTTTTTGAAAGAGCTTAATATGCATTCCAAATATGAAGTCTCTATCTTTCATGGCTTAAAAGTTATGGCGAAGGTTAAAGTTTGCAGACAGACGGATACAAAAACAACATGCGCCCCCGATCTATCGATCCGGGCGCATGAATAACGTCTAAAATTGATTAAAATTTTAGAAAAATCAGAAATGCGTTCATTACGTTTTTTCATCTCTGGAGATATAACTGTTTTGGTGTTATATTTAAAACTCTAAAAAATATATATTTATATAAAATTTTTAAAGACTTCAACTCTTCCGTTGGTTTTTTTTTCATCGAAAGTAATCAGCAGTTGATGGACGTTAAAGACGTTCGATCCTGAGATTTTGAGCGTAATTTGGTCAGGTCCTTTATTTATAAAATTCTGCATCATTTTTAAGTTCTGTCTCTAAATTCGCTCTTGCGTACATCTGGGGGGACAAATAAAGAAATTTGTATACAATCTTTTTTCTTAAATTTCTTTATGTATATTTGAAGTTTACACTTTAATAAGGGTGAAACAATGTTTGAATAGATAATCAAGTCAAAAATAAATATTTTATTAATGTTTGAAATGTGTGTAACGTAACATATGACAGACATATAACGTAACATGACGGACGTGTAACATATTATGACATGATTAAATAACATTTTTGATGTTTAGCAATACAAATAATTAATAAAAAATAAATTTAAACAATTCTTTAAACAATGTTAAAAAAAAATCATTCTGACATAGAAGGAAAAAAAACGATTTTTAGGCACTTTTGATGCAAAAACTGACGAACGTAACACTGACAGACTTCTTTACTTAAGCCAGCCAAGTTACCTTTAAACTTCATTATTTTAGCAAAAAGCTAATGTTATCTTATGAAATTTACTTTGTTCAAATTTTTATGCCTTATAAATTTTAAATTTGAATTTTTCTAAGATAAATCTCTGCCATACGCTTTGTAACATACAAAATTCCAACCATGTCTGTCATGTTACGTTATTTCTTGAGCAATACCCGTTTGAATCGAGCCAATAAAATTTATTATTCAAAGCTAATTTTTTATTCTTAGGAATTATAAAACATAAAATAATATTATTTATGAAAATTCTTATGAAATTTTCAAAATAATATTATTTAATATTGATAAAACCTATAACGTTACATGGACAGACGCACGTAACCCTGACAGACACGTTTTAAAAATTGCAAGAAAATAACTATAAAATTCTATTGTTTGAGTTATAAAGACAAATTCTCCCTTATAATACAATAATATGTTTGAATAAAACATCTTTTTGGTTAAATTCACTGACTGTTTAAATCTGAATGCATCTGTATTATTTACGTAACATGGACAGACATTCGGTTTTTCCGTCATCGTTACGATAATATTCGGGCAATGTCTGTCAATCAGTAAGTTATGCAAGAAATTCCAAATTTGAAGTGTTTATCTATTACATGAAGAGCGTGCAAGTTCATAATTTAAACAAAACGTACAAAATACATCTACTAGTTGACAATCTTTGATGATATGTGTATAAAATCTAAGATAAAGACGACTTATAGTTTTGTGAACGTAACATACTTTTTGTAACGTAACACTTGGACATACAAGCTTTCGTGGCTTCTCGGAATCTCTCGGTAGCTCTTCCGATAGAAATATAAACACATTTGCATAGAACATTGGAGAAATTTTAAATATTCATGACCTTAAGTCAAATGCATGAGAAGAAGCGTCTCCGAGCTCAATTCTTAAATTTGCACGTAACGCCCTCTTGTCATGACAGACACAGGAAGCATCTCACAGATTTGTTAATTTCTCAGCACACTCGCTTTTCTGTTGAATCTGTGACCACTTAATTGATAAAAAAGTAAACTTTCTACCAGTAGACAAGAAAATTAAGAGTGTTTGCATAAGCAATGTCCCATTTGATAGCAATTTACCATGTGTATTGAGACGGACAGACGTTACGTTCAAAATATGAGGAGAAATAAAATTCATTTTTTCTTTTATTTGAGTCATAATGTGCATTAAAATACTTTTGTATGTAAATTCTTTCCTTCCTAAACAGTAGTAAATAAAAATATTCTGTGTACAAGGTATCATTGCCGTATATTAGTCTTTTATTTTGACATGGTTGAAAATGTCCCCCTACACATGCGTGATTCTAGTGGAATTTTCAAATTCATTTCAAGAAAAATAAGTAAGTTGATGAAAAAATCTGCTCATATTATCTTTTCTATATATTTGCAATATAGTTTTCAATATAAAATAATTTTTATTTCAGTTTTTTCAATAATTTTTGAAATATTTCTCTTTTAAAAGTCATAGGTCATTACAAGATGTACACAAGAGCGAATTTAGAGCCTTCTAACATTAAATTTGAATTCTACAGTGCAAATTTAACTATATTCAATGAAAAAGCCGCGATTAAATTCCATTCAAGTAGAATTAAGCTAGGAACTATATTTTGTGGAGAAGGATTTTTAGACGAAAATGATCAGTTTTTCCATTTTGAACTATAAAAGTACAGTTAATTTTGGATTCCTATTATTCATTCCTGGTTGCACACAAAACTGTTTTTTGCAGTGAAATGTGTTATGCTGGTTCTGAAATATCTATTTGATTATTTTTTATGAATTATATCAACAAAGTGTGACAAATATAGTAAATATATTCTGAAAATCCGGGAAAAAATTGAGCCAATTTTAACGTAAAATTGACACTTTTTTTTAGCAATATCTAAAAAATTTACATCATATACCCCCACTTTTGATGTTCTTTTCTAAATATTCAAAATAAATTTGACCTACATGTATTTGCTTAAAATCAGAAAAAGTTTAAGACTTTAAAATAATTTTCTTGCTTATTAAATTTTCAATGCCAGAAAAATCACTTTTTATCAGTGCAGAAAGGTCAAATAAATGATTATGCGAACCAATTTGAAACTTTTTCTTAGTCACAATTTTTAAGTGTCTTTTTATAAAAAAAACTTAGAGTTTATTTTGTTTCATGCTTTAATTGGATAAAAATATTGAAGGGAAAACGTCAAAAATTTAATTTTTAATTAAGACACAAATTTCAGTGTAAAAAGGTCATATTAAATGTACTGTAGCGCCAAAAGAAGCGTATTGACCCCCATTTCTTATCTGAATTTTAATTAAACTATGTATGTAAAAACTAAAAATACACTTGGCAAAAAAGTGACTTTAAATATCAGGATCGAACGTCGTTAAGGAAGAGAGTGAAATTGATATGATTTCGTAAAAAATGTTAAAATACTATACCTTTTTAATGACGTGATGTTAAAAGTTGTTCTAAGGTACAATTTACTATAAAATTCAAATAATGTTAAAAGTTCTTAATAATTTAAAAGCGACATATGAATGATATATTTAATACAGCAGCCTAAGTTTAATTTGATAAGAGTTAAAAAAAAATACTTAGCACAGTAAGTATTAGTGGATGAGTTACGAATAAGTACTGAAAAATGTCATATTACAAATAGCAAGATATGAATATAAAGAAATAGCTGTTAGACCGTTTATATCCGAAATAGTGTACATACAACTGTTTTCCTGTATTTGGTTGTTTCTGCATTTATTGTGCTTGCTCTTTAATAGTCCTCTTTTTTTCTAACATATATTACAGAGAAAGTGGAGTTTCCGGATTACACATATGAAATTGGACTTCCTGGTAAACTGCGTTGTAGAATAAACCGGGTCCGGATGTGGGATGCCATTACTATTAACGGAACCAAAGACGTGGTAGGGCAAAATACACCATTGTCCTTTAAGTTGCTAAGCAGCAATGAAACATGTTTAGAAGGAAATGACAGTCGCATCACAACAGAATTTGATATCAAACGGACCAGAAGTGCATCGGCAAAATATGATGATATAGAAATGACCGTTCACCTTAGCGAAATCAAGTGCGAAGATATGGGTGATTACGAATGCTGGGTGGATGGTCCAACTGTATATAAAGTAACGAACTCAGTAACGGTCAAACGTAAGATTAAAATCTATATACATTTTATACTGACGGATTTAAAAGCATACATTGACTTCAAAATGTAGCATAAGATTGAAAAAGAATAATTACAATTTGTTGCAAGGTACATGTGTATGTTTAAAGTTAAGTAGTTTTTTGAAAGAAAAAAATTATGAGGACACAAATCATATTTGTATTTGTTTATTGATGGACCCACGTTCAAAGCCTTTTATATATATATATATATATATATATATATATATATATATATATATATATATATATATATATATATATAATTTTCGTGATAAATCATTATAAATTTCAGCTTACGATTCATAATCTGATGCGTACATTAAATGTACATAATTTCCGCGTACCCTGTGAGTCAAAAACGACAGTAGTGGCACTTCAATTATTCAATCTTAACAAAGTAATATATCCAGTAAGAGTTGTTTCCCTTTTCAGACGGTCATTGGACCTTAACTATGTTTCGTTCTTGCAGGATATCCAAAAAGCAGACCTACATTAAAAATACCTTATGCTATCATCGAGAATGAGCCGATTTCTATCAAGGGTTTTTGGAACAGCGGGTTTCCAGATAGTTATGGCGAATTAGAATGGTATATACTGAAACCAGGAGCAGACGAACATCCATGGACTGATGTTAAAAACACTGTCAACACCAAAAACTGCGATAACGAGGCTGCCAGCATAATCAATCTACCAATCACATTAGAAATGAATCAAACGAAAATTAAACTACAGCCTTACTTTTATCCACAGTTCAGTAAGGAGAAGCAAAGACGTAAGATAGAGCATGTTACAGAGGAAATTCTGGTAGTTCCTGGTATGTAAATTTACCTCAATATCATAAAGCGCAATACATTCCATGTTCAATTTAGAATTGATTTATTAGATCATATCATTTACAACGCAAATTAACTTGACCGTTGCATCCATTTCTTAACAATGCAATGTATTAGAAACAGCCATTTATTTTAACTCCATCTCCCTATATCAAGTCTTATAATTTAAATAAAACCTTTACTAGCGGATTAAGAAATTACTTTTTAGTGCTCTGTCACAACCTTGATGAATGTCCAGAGTATTCATTAAAATCATTTTTGAATAACAAGCCCTGCATGTTCATAGTATCCGAGTGTGTATGTTTATACCTGCATAGAGATTAGAATCATCTTGTTAGGATAATAGGCAATATAATTTCCATATTCCTAGGGGTTACCAAATTTCTCCTTTTCATGATGATTTTCAAATTTCGAAGATAAATTTGATGGAGAGTAAATTTAAAAGGGCAGAACAATAAATTAAAAACAGATGGGTGTAAAAATGAGATAAAAATGCCTAAAAATTCTAATATCCCTTTAATATAGATATATGATTTTTGTTTTACAGCAAATTTCTGCGAAGGAAAGAAGAAGGATAAGAACATTATTCATCCCTATACTTGTAAACTCTTCATTATATGTACAGATAGAATTAATATTTACGAATGTCCAAAAGAAACCACGTGCTTCGATGAGGCAAAGGGGACTTGTGAGTAGGAATGGGAGTTATTTACAAACGATAAACAGATCTTGGACGACTTGGTAATTCCTGAAGGAGAAGGGGTCTGTCTAGAAGGAAATCGTGCTTACCAAAATATCCTGAAACATACATTTAGTAAGAGTATTTGCAATATACATGTATTCAAATGTTGAGCAAAAGTGAAATTGAGCTAAAAGTCATGAAACAAAATTCAGGAGATGAAATCGAGAAATCCAGCGAAGTGGAGCCAGGAATCAAGTCATTACGTACTGTCAAAAGAAAATGTCTCATTTTTTAAAGGAACTTAAAATGAAGTCATGCATATACTTTGATTTTAGTCTTAGTCTATCCCAAAATATTGTTTGCTTGTCCTCTCCCGATCGACTGACTGGCGACTAAAAATGGCCCAGATCAGATGTTTTTACCTCCAGGAATCCTATGTTTTCCGTAAATGGGTTGTGAGAATACAGCTATGATGTTAAATTTTTTTGGGGTGGGTGGGGGGTCCCACTTACCTACTACCAGTTTTTCTTCACCTTGAGTCGGGAGAGGACAAAAGGACGTTATTTTTAGGTTTGCATTACTGTATATTATTAAAGATTTTTAAAATTAGTATTCGGAAAAAGCCTTAAAAGTAGAGGCTATTCTGAAAAGTGTAAATAATCTGTTTGATTATTTGTTTATTTCCTAATTATTTTCACAAAATGTATTACATTGCACTATACATGTACATGTATTAAATGTGTATCATAAAATAAATGAAGCATAGCAAACGTGTGATTTTAAGACATGTAAAAATTTTACTTTAATGATAACTGGAAAATTGTACTTGTATGAATAAATGGCTTTAGCCTTTCATGGCAATGGTTATTAATTACATGCTGACAAAATATTTATTTGCTTCATAACCACGTCTAAGAAGGCAAGAAGAGCCAACTGTTACATGATAGCACACCCAGAATCTTGTGCATGTTGGAGAACACAATAGCATATGATACATCAAGCATTGTTGGCAAATTAAACGCAGGACGTTGTTGTATGGTGAAATGACAACTTGTTGTTCATAACAAACATAACATCACATTGATTCAAAGATGTAAAGCCTGAAACTGTATAAGTATCAGGTTTCAGGAAAGTAAATAGTATAATGATTTTTGTTCAACCATTTATTATTCATTTAAATACAGTGTATATAACTTTAAAAAAAACATAATACAGAAACCTTTGTTCGCTATTTAACATCTCGGCTAGAGAGAGTACCCCACCTTCGGCAGCCAAATTTCAATACAAGGACAAAGAATTTCAGTTTTTTTTCAAATAAGCATAACATTACAATGGAATGCCTATAATTCATTAACATCCAATTCATTTTCAAATTCATTTTTCAAAAATAATTTTTCGAGACATAAAATATTCACAATTTATCTTCTCACGTTCTTAAGGGGAAAAAATATCATAGTTTAAAAAAAGACCAAATATCTATATCCTTACATGCCATTTTAGTCCCCTATTGGTGAACCCGGAGGAACTATAGGCTGAGTCTGTCTGTCAGTCTGTCTCTTTTGGTTTTCCACATTTTTAGCTCACCTGGGCCGAAGGCTCAAGTGAGCTTTTCTGATCACATTTTGTCCATCCGTCTGTAAACTTTTCACATTTTCGACTTCTTCTCAAGAACCGCTGGGCCTATTTTAACCAAACTTGGTACAAAGCACCCTTGGGTGAAGGGAAATTTAAATTTTTAAAATGAAGGGCCAGGTCTTCTTCCAAGGGGAGCTAATAAAGAAAAGACAAAAATAGGGTGGGATCATTAAAAAATCTTCTCAGAAGTCTCTGTGGAGACTGTAGCTCTACTGGTTTATACTTATAACAAAGGAAGAGAAAAAGAGCAGATGGGACTTGAAACTTTAAAACAGCAATAAATAGAATAATGATCTTTGTTTAAGTCAATTTTTGTGGCAATATTACAAAAACACTACAACTCTAGGAGTTTAATAAATAGAATTTTAAAGAATTTTCAATTTTAGTTACCTTGGCAACATAATTCATCAATTATGTATCTTAGTACAGTCTTCCTGTGTGCCAAGTTATATTGAAATCTAACCAAAACTGTGGAAAGAGTAGCATTTTGAAAGTATTTCAAAGAAATTTCTATTTTTAATAACCATGGCAACACCATTCATCGAAATCACAAACCGATAAAGAGAATTATGTATCTTAGTGTAGTCAACCTGTGTACCAAGTTATATCGAAATCAGACCAAAACTGTACAAATGGAAGCATTTTGGAAGCATTTCACAGAAATTTCTATTTAAAGTAACTACGTATACGGCAACACCTGTCATCGAAATAAGAAACCGATGCACAGAATTGTGTATCTTAGTCTAGTCTAGTTGTGTGCCAAGTTATATTGAAATCAGACCAAAACTGTAGAAGTAGCATTTTGAAAGCATTTCACAGAAATTTCTATTTTCAGTAACCATGGCAACACCGTTCATCGAAATCAACAACTGAAGCATGTAATTATGTATCTTAGTATAGTCTACTTGTGTACCAAGTTATAATAGGAGGAGTAGCATTTTGAATGCATTTCACAGAAATTTCTATTTTTAGTAACCATGGCTATACCGTTCATCGAAATCAAAAAAAGATGCACAGAATTATGTATCTTAGTATAGTCTTCTTGTGTGCCAAGTTATATCGAAATCAGACCAAAACTGTAGGGGGAGTAGCATTTCGAAAAATTATTTACAGACAGACAGACGGACAGACGCATTACTATCGAATAAGCTCTTCTGACCAGTAGAGCTAAAAACCACTAGGCCAGAAAAGCTGAAACTTATGTGGAAGCATCCTGGGGTAGTGTATATTCTAAATTTTTCAAATTATGACAACCGGGGGGTTGGGCGGGGCCATAATAGGAAATCGGAAGTTTTACATAGGAATATATAAGAAAACAACTTTAAAAGTCTTCTTCTCAAGAACTAGTTGGCCAGAAAAGCAAAAACTTGTGTGGAAGCATCCTGGGGTAGAATTTAAATTGTCCAAAGTTTGACCCGTGGGGTACGATGGGGTCACAGTAGGTATTACAAGGGGGAAATCGGGTTAAGAATAGCATGGTCAAAGCTTCTCAGGCATATCGCTCCGTGTCATTAATTTTTGACGGAATTATGACATAATTCGAGCTTTTTTGGCCTTGCAGTATTTATCACTTGGACTGTTGGTATGTATCTATTGAACATGACCTAAATTTCTTCATACCCTGTAATTCTTTCGAAAATGGCCTAAAGCTGAAGTATTTTTGAATATTTATGGCTGTACACACAGTGGAGTTGTGGAGCAAGAAACATTATTAATTTTTTTTGTACGTGCAGCTAAAAATGAAAAAATTACTACTCGATTTGCTGGTATTGGGGAACCAAATTCGATCTCTTCAACAGATTTATATACCTGTGTGAAAGACAGTACAAAAGAAAATGGGTTTGAGGAACACATGAATAGACTTTTGGGCATCGGAAGTTATGGTGGTGGTAATATGATGGTCATGAAGACTGGTCTAGCGCCTTAAATGCGAAATGACCACCCTGAAATCATTTGAGTGCACTGCTTACCACAGGTTAGAATTGGCCTTTAAAAACGTTTTCAAGATTGACAAACTGTACACACAGCTAATGACGACGCTTCTACTTGGACTTTACTATTTTTATAAATATAGACCCGAATAAAGAAAATGCCTAAGGAGAAACATTGAGATATGACCACTCTAAGTAAGTTTATTTTAAATTGTTCAACAAACAACCAATAAGTTATTTAAGTAATATGTTGATTTCATATTTCACTCGTATTGTATTTCCTAAACATGTTTTTTTAATTTCAGATTTAAGATGTGAAAAAGCACATTGCTTCACAGGGTACGTGGATTGATTAATTGATTGTATGTTGTTTAACGTCCATTTCGAGAATTTGTCACTCATATGGAGACGCCACCACTAGCCGTCGGAGAGCTGCAAATTTTGTCTTATGCTCGGCACTCAGGGTCATTTAGCAGTAAGGATTTTTTTTCGTGCAATACCTACTGCGACACGGGACCTCTGGCACAGTTGGAATTCGAACCCGCGAGAAGGATCAACTCCTTACTTTGCGACTCTAGAGCAGACGCTCAAACCACTGTGCCACGCGGGCCACCAGGGTATGTGTGCTTAGAGCATCTGCTCTGGAGTTGCGAAGAAAGGTGGATGGTGGGGTGGCCGGGTGGTGGAGGTTCACATACACTACGATGGAGAAAACGAACAGTATTCAAACAAAAAAGGCCATAAAACAATACAAATGGTAAACGTTAACTTTAGTCATAACCTATTAACGATAAGGGCTGGAGCTTTCATACTTTATATATGTAATACTTGTGACAAGACCTTTCCAAAGAAACCATTATATTATATAATTATATAATGATATAATTATTTACACCCATCTTCAATTCAGTTGTACCTATCTTTGATTCAATTGCACCTATCTTTAATTCAATTGGATCTTTAATTTATTTGAAGATAGGTACAATTAATTGAAGATTAGGTGCAATTATTCGGAGATACAAATATTTGAATATGAGTCTCTTCTTTTAGCATCATGAACGTTGCGTAACGTCAAAAAATAACGTCATTTTCCTTGTAAAACAAAAGACTAAATACATGACATTGTTTTAAATTAACCAATGAAGAACCATTTATTTATAACCAATTCTTAAAGCTTTGTAATTGTAACGAATAAAAATTCTTGAAGTAAAGAGTAGTACATACCAAAAAAAAGAGAACATGTGCATAGATATGTAACATTACTTTTCTGTGTTATTTTGTTAGATTTCATTCAAACATAGCAACAAAAAATTCAAAGTCCATTTTCTGGTGCATTTCATTCCTCGGGATTTGGACATGTCATCTCCTTGTAAGGATCCCTGACAAATGGTCTGACCATACGGTAGAGGTACTGTTGTCGCTCAGGGGAAATCCCTCCGGGTGGTATTATCTCCGGCATCAGGGCAACTGCTGTTAAATCTTCGGGGGTATCAGAGGACTTCAGCAACTCAATTTCCGTTTCTGCATGGTCAACTGTTTCTTTGACGTCTACTTTTCCTGTGAAAATATTATTCAATATATATAACACTGGATTTTTTTTCTAAAAATCCTACCAGGAGATGAAGAAAATCTGAAATGGTGGAATTTCCGTATGCCTCTTACTAGAAGAAAGTAATGGGAAACAAACGTCTTCCAATCAAACCATTCCCAGCAGTGTTGTCCCGCCTCGTTCCAATATGTAACTGCGGTATTTGATTTGGCACTCTTGTTGACGACATCCGCTAGTCCGGATAGACTGTCAACATCAGTTCTGTGATAGAGACACTTAATGTTTGCAAACCCAGCATCCACTAGACAACGTCCGTGATAGGGCACTTGCATTGAAAGGGTAATATTGTGGTGAAGGCCTAACAATGTTCTCCATGAC